TGTTCAGCTGGAAAAAAAGACGAGTGAGCAATCAGTTTATATATATATATATATATATATATATATATATATATATATATATATATATATATATATATATATATATATATATGTATGTATATATATATATATATAATATAAATTTATATTATAATATAATTTTATATATATAAATTTATATATTTTTTTTTTCTGGTTGTACAATCTCTTAGTTCCCTTAGAATCCCTAATGTTTGTGCTGTTCTCTGATGTCCATTCATAATATTGTACAAAAGAAAATGCAAAATGTCCAAAGCAAAATGCACATGAATTTTTGCCGCAAATTTGTGATACTGGCCTGACTTTCCTGAAAGTGGAAAATTAATGTGACACATTATCCTTTGATTAGCCTAGAACTAGTGAAGTGTTTAGTGTGAAGACAGAATAAGGTGCTGTTTAGTTTCACTTTTAAACACATACGTTTTGTTATGGTTACACACTAGAGGTCTGCATTCCTGCGGCTGTACTGCAGGACCCGACCAGATTTCTTGCAGCGCAAGAATAAATTTCTGAATAAATTGCGGGAGCGGTCGGTAACTGGTTTAATTTTGGACGGGAGCAGACGGTCTAACAATATCGTTCCCGACTTCCGAGCGAGTAAGCACGCATTTGTATGTGTGTGAATGAGACAGCATGATGCTGCATTTAGCATGTTTGTTGCTGTCTGTGTGTGTGCGAATGAGTGAGCTTTGTGCTGTCTGTGTGTGTGTCATTTGCTTAGTGCTTACAGAAAGCTTGTTATAGGCTGTCTGGACTCTGCTAAGTGGTTTTCGGTTTTGTTCTAACCCCGTATGTTAGTGGAAACAGTCGCGGCAGGTAGAAAACGGGGCAGATCGGCAGCGGGACAACAAATGCTGAATATAAGCGGGAGCGGTCGAGTTCGTGCTAAAACCTAGCGGGAGCGGGATTCAAAATTTAGTCCCACGCAGATCTCTATTACACACCTGGTGTATATTGTAAAACTATGGGCTCTATTTTAACAATCTTGGCACAAAGTCTAAATCACATGGCACAAAATCATTAAGGGCATGTCCAAATCCACTTTTGCTATTTTAAGTGTGGAAAATTATGGTCTGCGCCACGGCAGACAGGGTCTAACAGGTCTAACAGGGTTGTGCTTATTCTCTTTATGAGTTTAAGATGGGTGTGTTTCAAGCATAACGTGCATTAAACCAATCAAACTCTCATCCCCCATTCCCATTAAGAGTCAGTTGCGTCACGCCATGGCGCATGTGCTATTTACATGCACACTCTGTAAGTGTAAAAACTGAATGCTTCACTACCGAGAAAACAGTTAAACAGACCATCTGCAGCTTGTGGAAAAGAATAAGCTTCCTCCATTCAGCCTCTTTACTTTCACTTTATCTTTATACTCTTACTCTTTACTTTCATGGGCAAGGAAATGGAGTTGTACGCACACTACTGAAGACATCCATTAGCCTACATATTAAATTTAGTTTATTAAGCACAAAGATTTGTTTCAAAACTATTTCTAAATTCAGTTCTAATTAACAGCAAACAAATAAATGAACAATAATAACAAAATATGGTCAAAAAATATCTATCTATAGAGTTATATCTAAATACACGTCCTATTCTTATGCCCCACATGGTCCAAAACGCTACATGTGGACAAATCTAAACTTTTTTTTATTAAAACAAATATAAATATGCATATAATAAATAATACAGCTTAAAATAATAACATTATACTAATGCAAATTGGCATGGATAAACTGAAAAAGCCCCACTTTAGACTTGCTTTTAGTTGTTCAAATGGCTCAGTCTAATTTAGTTCCACAATAGCATCGGGCCAGCAATGCGCCTTAACACACCTCCTTTTCAGACTGGCAAGCCTATAAGTCCACAAAGTGGCACAAATGGATTTGGTATTTAAACAATGTGGCGCAAAATTAGGGTTGTGCTGGTCTGAAAATAGCAACAAATCGCGCCAAACACATCTTGCGCCTCATTGTACTGGATGTATGATAGGACCCAAAGTGTTTTATTGTTTCCCGAGTTTAACAGCATTCAAGTACAATAATTAAATAATAAAAATAAAAACACTAATAAAATTAACCATAGCTAAGGTCACAAATGGTTCAATTTGTGGTTCACCTGAATGCTTTTAAAATCATTACACAATTCCAGGCATCAAAAACACATGCAAATGATAATTAGGCTGCATTTACACTGCAGATCTTGATGGTAAATTCCGATTTTGTGACTGTATCTAATTTTTTTTGATGACCTGCTTACATCATCTTTTAAAAGTAACTCGTATCTGATCGTCTGCATTTACACAGCACACGACAAAGGCGCAAGGACCAGGAAAAAAAAGAGCGGGCGCTGACTAACAGCTGATAATTAAAGAGTGTTCTTTTCTCCATTCTTGTATGTAATCTGTTCGCAGCTTTTGACAAGCTGTTTTACTCTAGTTTATGACAGAAAGGTTCTCATTTGTCCATCTTCTTTTGATATATAGGCTTTTTAAAACCTTTAGGCATCTGAATGTAATGTCCATGGCATGATTTATGCACATATTGTATGCACTAGTTTTATATTAGTTTATATTGGTTACATGGCAACATTGCGCTCTCTCGCTCTTGTTTATATGCTTAAGTACCTGTGCAAGATGACACTATAAAAGCTGTTTAAGTCCTCGTGTGTGAGATTTAAGGTTTGGTTCTCTGCTGAAGTCTGTTCTGAAATGAAAGCGTCAGAATTGACATTATTCGATATGGTTTTAATGACAAGTGGTGCTCACTGCAGAGCCATTTGGGCGAGCTGAGCTCCAGCGAGGGGGAGCTTGAGCTCCACCTTTTTTGCACTTCTTCTACGAGTGATGTCACTGGGGGTAGGGTTAGGGGTGGGGTTGGTGTACGCATTAAAACAGCTTACAGGAGGCAGAGCGAGAGCTCATGCTCCCCCTCGCTGGAGCTCAGCTCTGCTCAAATGGCTCTGCAGCGAGCACCCTCTGACCCTCTGACTCTGATCTACCTGCTTACACTGCAGACACGAGAATCCGATTCATATCGGATAAACTTCCACATATGAACAAGGCCTGAATCTGATTTGAGTAAATCGGAATCCATGTGATTTTTTCCAGCTTACACTTACATAGGCCATATCCAATCTGTGCCACACGCAGGGCCGGAGTGAGATTCCTTTTCAGCCCTGGGGGTTCAAGCCTTAGACCGGCCCACCTCAGTTCATGACTGATTATATAAAAATAACGTCATTTCCAATTCAATTTCTAATGACACGATCACGTCTTTTTCTAGAAAACAGCTACTTTAGAAGTTTAAATGTTCAACAACCCAAATGAAAAAATAAAAATAAATGAAATAGGTAAGGATTGAACTCGGGTCCTGCGATATGGTAACGCAACATGCTGACCACTGGACCACAATGGCACTATTGTAAGATATTAGCCCCTTTCACACAGCGATACCGGTAAATATCCGGAACATTTCTGGAACTACTTTACCGGTAAATTCAAAAAAGCGCTGTTCACACAGGCGAGGACGTTACGGAATTTTTCCGGAAAAGAGCATTCACACACCCATCGCAAAATGCCGTTAAATTCTGACATCATTAACCAGAAATGACCTCTAAACGGCTGCGCTTGTGTTTGTAAACATTTGACTACATTACAAACTCTTCGGATGGATCAGTATTGAGTACAACTCTAATGAAAACATAGGGTAACACTTTCGCATGTCGAGATGTTCATGATATGTGTGTGTGCTGGCGCTATGGGCGCTCACGGGCACACGCAAAGCTTGAAGGTAAACAAACAACGGATTATCATGAACATTTTATCGATAATTATTTACACAGCATTAAGAAGGAACATAGAAACATTATCTGACTAACATCTAGCAGCTAAAGGTGTCTGGAAAAAATATTCATAGGCTTGTTATTACGGCAATCTTCCTTCTGCATTCACACAGCGCAGCATTCCGGCAAATTACCGGTAATGTTACAACTTCTCTTTCCGGAAAATAGCCAGAACGAATTTACCGGTATTTTCAAAAAGGGCCTGTTCACACATACAACCTTTCCGGAAAATTGCCGGTAATTTTCCGGAAAGGTCTGTATGTGTGAAAGGGGCTAATGTCTATTAATGCCTTAATCTTTTTCTCCCCTCTCTGGATTTCTGATCAATTTATGTCAGATTTATTAATGTTGTGAATCATCTAATTTTTATTGAGCAGGTGTAATATTCAATAATATTAATTATTCGAATTCTTATATTCACTAAGGTGCCGTTGTTTGGGGTCGAATAATAGTTACGTCATCAATAACCTGCAGGCGGCATTTTGCTCACGGAGCTGCGAGAAAATAAATAAAAAGCGTTGAAATGCAGCAAAATAATGAATAAAAAGAGTGAGACTATGGTCAAATAAATAAATAGATGAAAAAAGTGCGACTGCTGAGAGTGCAAGCAGCTAGGGACACCGGCCCTCGCGGCCAAAAAACGGACCGGCCCACCTGGAATTCTCCTGGTCCTCCCGATTAGCCAATCCGGGCCTGGCCACACGGTAGAGAAAAATCAGAATTGAGTCACTTGAACAGCGTGAATGCGGCCTTATAGTACAAACTCAACATTGCATATTATCCAATGTGACTATTGCGAATGATCGCATCGCGTTATCGATACTGACACGATATATTGTGCTGAATTGTGCTTTATATATATACTTACCTTGCTTTGCCTGAAAATGCAAGTATAGACAGATCGATTTCATTCTTAAACACTGCTTTAAAACAAAAACACACTAGTGTAAACGCAGCCTGTAAGACTAACAAGCAAACCTGAAGTTCCCAGACACACAGGATGTTTTTATAGTACAGTGTACTCTATAGTAACCTGTCAAAACATCAAAAGGAATTTTGAGTTGTCCATTCATGGCCACACCCACCTCCTCAAGACGCCCCATTGTTTGTGTTCACAGGGAGGATTTTTTCTTTGTAAAGCGGTGACAGTGCAGAGAGGAGGGGCCACCGCCTGCCTGCTTTGCCTGGTCACGTGACACATTCCCCTTCCAGTAACCACGGCAACCAGCACTGGTCCAGCCTGTATCTCGCTGCTGTGTGAAGAGGAGGAAGAGAGAAAGAAAGGAGAGGAGAGAAAGCCCAAAATAAACACACACTCTTCCCAGCGGCTGTCAGAAATCGCAGTAAGTGGCTTCTTTGCATTGACTCTTGTGCTGCATTCGCGTGCGTGCTGCGGAATATATATATGAGACATCCTGCTGGCTGCTTTGTTGTGACGGATGACATCATTACATATTAATTTGAATAAGAGATGCTGCAAATGCTACATGTAAACAGATTATTGGTGGATCCCTATGATTGTGTGTTTTTTTTATAATCTGGGATGAAGTCTCATTGGGATGCATGCGGGTTTTTTATTATTGCTTCCGTCTTGCTTCAGTTGGGATGGAGGTGTTGGGCCTTGTGTGCTCTATTTAGTTCTGTGTCGAGCACGAGCGTCATTCTGGGTCACCCTGTTCTGCTGTGCGACATCCTTATGTGGAATGTCCTTGTGATGGTGGAGGAGAGAGAGGTATGTGTTGGGATATTGCAGAGAGCTCTGAATCATTTGATGCATGAAGGGTCAGGAGACTGTAGGAGAGTTTTGCAAGTGCTGATGGTCAATTAGATACAAGACATTGATAAAAATGCTCTTCTTACTTTGATTTTTTTAGTCTTATTTCTAGTCCAAATATCTAAAAATTCTTAAATCAAGAAGCATTTTCTAGACAAGCAAAACTAATTGTTTTGTTTTAAGAAATAATGCGTTATAATTAAGTGAGTTTTTCTTTAAAACAAACAAAATAATCTGCCAATGGGGTAAGAAAAGTAATCTTATGTCAAAAGGAAAAATATGATTATTTAGCTCACCCCACTGGCAGACTATTTTGGTTGTTTTAAGGAAAAACTCACTAAATTTTGCTATATTCATTCTTAAATGGAAGCAATATATTTTGCTTGTCTGAAAATGCTTCTTGACTTATTTTTTTGCAGTGTAAAGAAAATATGGGAGAGTTTTTGAATATATGAAACATAGGATGTTATATGTATAAAATATAGATGCACCGAATGAATATAATCTTGTATACACTCAAAATCAAACATTGAAAAACCTTTCTTTGCATTTCGTGGCATTAAAGGAATGTGGCTCCTCAAAGAACCTTTCAGCAACATGTGGGACATTCTACAACACATTGTGGGACATTGACTTCTGTGAGTTGTTCTGTGAAGCAATATGTGCTTTATTTGGCTCTGTACAAACCCTGTCATTGTACTTGTCCTCAGTTCAATTGCAAGTATAGCTTTAATAGTTTTGTTGTGCTAAAAAGCTCATTTAAAAAGCCAAAACTTCAGAAATAGCAAGTTTGAGTGGTTATCATTCACACCAATTGATTAAAAACATGGAATTATAAATAAATTCTACAAATAAAGACTATTTTATTATTGTCCCCATGTCAGTCCTGTCACATTTGCATTAAATTGAATATAAATTGTGTGCAATACACGTTTAAGGCTATGACTCGGAAGTGATATCAGTTAACTGAGGAGAAGCTGACAGTCATCAAGGATGCATTCTGCCATTGAATTGTATGATTTTATGCTTGTTTTTATTTTTTTTAGGACGATAAGCTTAAGTCAGGCCTTGTCACATTTTAAAATCACAAGTAAAAATGCACATTTCTGGTACAATTTCCATATTCTTGAAGGAAACTTTTTTTTAAATGAATATTTAGACAATTTAAAGAACATTTTTCATTTTTAATTTTAAAATTTTTATTTTTAAAGAGTATTATTACAACAATGCTTGAATGTTTTCCTGATCAATACATACTCTAATTATTAAATATTGACAGCACATCGTCTGCACAAATATTTATTTTTACATTCTTGAAAACAAAAGTAAATTTTCATTTAATATTTTAAATAATGCATTTTGAGCAATGTATGAATATGTTTAATATTAAATTGTTAAATTTTTGGTCAACAAAGAATTCAGGTTTTTGCATAACCATATACAATATATATAGTGCTCAGTATAAATGAGTTCACCTCTCACAGCTCTCTCTCTCTTAATTATATATTATAGATTAAATATTAATAATATTATACATAATATATAAAGGAGATCACAAATCACAGTCCAAAATTTAGTACACCAAAATTAATATGTTATAAATTTTAATAAACAGTAGCAATCCATTTTTATTGAAATGTTGTATGTTGTATTTTGTCCTTAACTGAAAACTGAAAATGTATCCTAAGAAGACAGCATCAGATTTTAGTTTGGGCGTGGATATGATACAGTACCTAAATGTTATCTAATGCTGTTTTATCAATGTAATCCTGACATGATTGATCACAATAATGTTTCTTCAGTAAAGCTCTGTTTCATTGACTTCACATTAGTAGTCTTTTGTTTCGTCCTCCCCATTAAATCACATAAAAGAGATCTACTGCATCTGTATATATATCTTGTAGCATCTGTTTTCATCATTAATGACAGAGTCTTTGTCTTGAGTTGAATCGGGCTTCTTTGTTTTCCAGGAACACGGGCATTTCTTTCACTCTGAACTGTAGATTAAGCCATTTCTTTGTGGAATGCCGTGTTTGGACTCTTTTTCATAAATTATTTTCTTTGTGCAGTAATACCAAACAGATGTAGAGCGCCATCGAATCATCAGATGAATTATGTGTCTAGTCTGAGAAGCCTGTAACTCGCTTGAGCGTAATTTAGATTTTAGGTTGAAAGCCCTTAAATTAGCCTTCGACTCACAATTGATGACCTAATTTATGCTGATGAGGGCATCACCGGTACTCATCCTTGGGGTTTTGGATTTGAGCAAACCGCCAACCTCATTTATTACATGTAAGAGCCATAATTTGATTCAAAATAATGTATTAATAGTGCTCAAATTCATGTACAGTTTACACATAATATGTTTAGTTGTGTAAATTTGCTGATTTAACCCCTACTCCTTTGTTTGTGATGGTTTTCTCCGCCCTTATTGGACTGCTTTAAGTTATATTTCGAAATAGAAAAGTGAAAGAAAGATAGAGAGAGACACAATTTTTTCGAGTTTATTGTTATGCTGTTTGAAAATTCAGTAAATATCTTTAAATGGAAAGAAACCCGACTGATTTTTTTAAAGTCTGATAGTACATTACATATTGTCACATTGTTTGTGTGGTTGATAATTAATTCATTCACTCATTTTCTTTTCGGCTTAGTCCCTTTATTAATCCGGGGTCGCCACAGCGGAATGAACCACCAACTTATCCAGCAGGTTTTTACGCAGAGGATGCCCATACAGCCACAACCCATCTCTGGGAAACATCCACACACACTCATTAACACTCATACACCACAGACAATTTTAGAGTACCCAATTCACCTGTACCGCATGTCTTTGGACTGTTGGGGAAACCGGAGCACTCAGAGGCAACCCACATGAACGCAGGGAGAACATGCAAACTCCACACAGAAAAGCCACCTGACCCAGCCGAGGCTCGTATCAGCTATCTTCTTCCTGTGAGGCGACAGCTCTAACTACTGCGCCATGTCATGTTTATCAGAAGAACGTGTGCAAAAATGAGTAGACAACACTGACACAAATTATTCAGATAGAGTAAAAACTATTAAAGAAATGTGACTTGTACCTTCAGTTTTTATATATATATATATATATATATATATATATATATATATATATATATATATATATATATATATATATATATATACTGTATAGTACTCAATTCAAGCTTATAGAAAGTAAAGAGAATAGTAGAATTGTTTTTGTTCTAACCAACCAACTTATCATTTTGTTGGAGTGCAGTAAGTGCACTATTCTGTGCATCTGAAATTTCTGTCTTGTTTCATCTGGTGCAAAAAGCCAAGTTGCTTATCACTGCATATCTTGTCACATAGCGTGTTGTTAGGACACGGGGTTACAGTGTAACCTGCTCACTTAATACTTAGGTTTGTATTATTTGCTAATTAACAATCTCATGTGGAACTCTAAATCTGCGTCTCATTTCAGGGCTGTCCACTGGAGGTAGCATTTCGGTCACGGACACATGCTTTGAGAGTTTTTCTGAATGAATGAATGAATGAATGAATGAATGAATGAATGAATGAATGAATGAAATACACGGTTTTCCACCAAGGCAACCCAAGGTGCTGAAATATAATTGGCCAAACTGGCATTGGGCGGGTTAAAAGAACTAAAACAAAGACAGATATTCCGGCACGAATATCACGGCACGGAATAAACTTGCGTTTTCAAAGCAGAATATCTGACTTCAGCATTGTTTTTCAAATAAACAAGAATGCTCACTTAGCATGTTTCCAAAAATATCTGCAAACATATTATGGTATTTTTAGGCTATAGAAGAGTCAAAAACTTACATACAGCACCTTTAAATGAATGTTTATGGCTGCTTTTGTTGTTACTGATTTTTTTTTCTAAACTTCTAAGTAAAAAAAAATGCATTTTACCATTATTTATTGTATAACACGTATTGTATTCAGTACACCATTGCCACAGTGTTGTATTGATTTTTTTTCTTCTTCCTTTAAACTAAAGTAGTAGTTTATCCAAAAATGTTACTCAATTATTTTTAGATTTTTTTTTCCTTTCTTTTATTAATCTTTGAAACTGAATTTTAAGCCTTAAATCTAACATTTCAAATATTTGTAAGCACAGCATACGCTTTAAAAGGTTTTTCTTTTATGGTGGGGTAAAGAATTTGTTGGACTCCCACACCAAACATTTGTTTTTAATCTTAGTTTATCTGGGAAAGAAATGTATGCTTTTATTGTGGTCATCTCCTCAGGTACCCTCCTTTAAAATGTGGTTGTCTCAGGTATGTACGCTATTTCCACTTGAGAAACTCACATATGAATAAAGGATCAGACAGAATCTGTGGTCATTTTTTGCTATTTCTGTGAAAAATTTTGTAAAATTTATTTTTATTAATCAATTTTATTAATGCCTTCCCCAACCATAATCCTACCCCTCACTGTAATGTAAAAACAGTAAATATTGTTGTACAGTAATTGCATTATTGTCAGAATATAAATATACTTTATTAACTTTTCGCAGCTGTATCCCTTTTAAAATTTACCTACTGTATGTGTGCT